TATATTTAAATAAACTTAATTAAATAATTAATAAAAAAATTAAAAAAAATATATTTTTTATAGTTAATTGACTAAAAAATATATAAAATAAAAATTACATAAAACTTCAAAATTAAGGATCAAAAATAAATTCGACCTTTTCAAATTTGAATTATTTTTGTACTGACACATTTTTCAAATTTAAATTGACTTTGTACTGCTGACATATTTTCCAATTGAGCAATACTAGAGGCACTCGTCAATTGCACTCTCCAACCAACACTTCCATTTTCATTGGCCACGTTTTTTTGGTTGAAAGAGGTGGATTTCATAGCTTCAAGCAAATTTACGTGGCCCAATAACAAAGTATGTGTAGGTTGGAGAGTGTAGGAGGTGAGTACCCCTAGCACTGCTCTTTCTAATTTGCATTGTTTTTTTCTTTCGAAACATTTTTGGTGTATTGATCGGTATATTGAAATATCGGTCGGTGCATCGAAATTTGATTAAAATTGACGAAATTTAACTGAAACAAAATTAGATGCTATTTCAGTTTGGACTAATGTAAAAATTGGTATGTACCGACCGTACCAACCGATACGAAACAAAATCAATAACTTTGGTACAAATTTCAACTTCAATCCTCCCGATGACTACACATAATACTAATCATTACCATAAAAAAATACTAATCAAAGGATTCAATATCGTTTTGTACCGGTCAGTACATATTGGTTGTTTTTATTAATATGAAATGGTATGAGTTTTAATTTCATTTTGGTCAAATTTTAGGTATTTTAGTCAAATTTTGAAATACTGGTTGATGTTTTACGTATCATTTAGTACATTGAAATTAAACCAGTATAGTTCAAATCTTAAAAAAAAAAAAAAAAAGAGAGACAAAAAGGGCAAATCAAGCCCTATACTTAGTGAATGGTGACAAATCAGCCTCTCAACTAAAAACAGATACAAATCAACCCCTTAACTGATTGTAAGGTTGCAAGTCAACCTTTTTTGCATGGTTTATGTTAAACACTTGTTAATTCATAACGGAAAGGTGCTTTTGGTGGGATCCATTGCTTACATGATAATAAGGTGGCATTTTTTATCTTACATTAGTGTTAAGTTAGTACTGAATTGATAATTTATATTAAGATTTTTTTCTTTAAAGTGTATTTATTTAATATTTTTATAATTAATTTATATAAAAAATTAAAAAAATAAATATTATTTTAATATCAATATTATGTAAAATACTTTAATTAGATAGTTGATAGA